GGCGCGGGCCCTTCCGCGCGGGCCCGGCCCCGCTTCCTCGCTGTTCCGCCGCGCCCCGAGTCGCCCGGCTCGGTCCGACAAGGAGCGGGTGGCCCCGGGCCGGGCTCGCCACAGCCGGCGGCCCTGGGGCCAGGCCGTTGGCTCCCGGGAGGGACCGGTCCCCGGGCGCCGCGGAGGATTTCGCTGATGTAAACGTGACGACTCTGGTTTGTGGCATCCAGAGGGGAAAAACTGTCGTGCGCGGTGGTTTGCTCAAGGTGTGGGTAATTTTGAGTCTGCCCAAAGGGCCGCTGGTAACGTAAGTTACGCGTTTTCCCAGTACACGCACGCAGGCACGTGTTTAAGCTTTCATCATTTTTTGAAATTGCTTGGAAGTAGTTGGAACAGTACAAGAGTTAAGGTGAGCGACTATTTATAATGAAACAACGTGTTACTGAAACTCAGTTGTATTTTTAAATAGTAACAGCTTTTTGTGTTACTTACTTGCACCACAAGATGTGATTAAAAAGCAGCAAGCCTGTTTTGATGTGTTGCTTGTGTGTATGTTTCTTGCAGATGTCAGAAGATCTTGCTAAGCAGTTAGCTAGCTACAAAGCTCAGCTTCAGCAAGTTGAGGCAGCCTTATCTGGGAATGCAGAAAACGAAGATTTACTAAAACTGAAGAAAGACTTACAGGTGAGAACTTGATGGTATGAATAGCTGAAACTTTTAGGTCTTCAGCAGGTGTTTAATCTTCCTAAATATTTGGTTTGTAACAAAAATATATACTTGGTGGGTTTAGGACTTTCTTTTCACATAGTTTGATACAGTTATGGTAGGGTTGGCTTGAAAAAAACCTCTGAAGTACAGCCTATTTTAAACCTTTCTGGTAGATCAGTAAAAAAGATGTACTAATTGATACAGCAAACTCTTCTGCTGAAAGCTTTAGCCAGAGTGATGAAAGATAAACCAATGCTGTCTTTGATCTTTTTTTTTTTAAGTGTTTTTCAGAAAGTAATCATATTTTGTTGCTTTTACTGTGCTGAAGCCTGATGGTTGGGCTTAACATTGTGCTTTTCTGCTTATTTTTGAGTTGTCAAATAATTTGATCCAGAATCTGTTTATTCATTGCAGACATTTGCAGTGATAAAAGCTTTAGAGTGTAGTTCCATGTTCCTTGTATGTCTAAGCCTTCATTATCTTAAGGTTTTTATATAAGAAAGGAAAAGGATCATGTTCTTCACCTGCAGTGTTTTAAACATATGAGAGCATGCCTCATTCTTAAGAGCAAAAAAACATTTCTGGTCCTTAGGGTATTGTTCAGTGACAGGAAGACCACCAGCTTAATTTCAAGTTAAGTGGTATTTTGGATTCTCCTGTGTATAAGGACACATTGGCATATTAAAAAAAAACAGCTGTACTGTTCAGATTTGTTATGAGAGTGCAAGATGCTGCTTCATTTCTGTTGTAGATTGCTTTAGCCATCAGATCTAAAAATACATAAAACCACCCAGTACAAGAATCAGTGACCACTAATCTGTATGGAAATAACAGCAATGAAAATGATGCCTCAACCAAAAGATGAGTAGTGCCTCAAATCAGTGATCTGTAGAATTCCTTTTAAATTACAAAGGCTTTGTGCCCACAAGGCACTTTATAGATCATCTTGATATCCCTCGTTGTACACTGTTAAAAGCATGTGTATATTTTTATATTTTTAAAATGCACAGCAAAACCCATATGGGATGATATTTCCGATACCAACACGACCTCGGCTTTGATATGCAGAGATCATTGATGTGAAAGGACAACTTGCAAACTTTTTATAAAAGCTTTCTGCACAGAATGGGGAAGATCTTTACACTTTCGTCCCCAAAAGGTTTGCTATCCATATGTTCCACCTTGAAAATGACATGCTGTTTTGCAGACTTAATATATGCCAACCAAACAGTTATAAAAATGGGTTCAGTGCTTCAGTGTCCCAGCTAAACAGCTTCTTGTCTCTTCAGAAAGACTGCTACTATGTAATTGAAACATTTTTTTGCTATCATAAGTAGTGATGCACTAGTTCATTTTGTACTCTTAGCTTAATGCTGAGTAACAAGATTAAAATATTAGAAGAAGTTTTTATAAGTACTTAGCTTTTCACTTTTTGTTTCACTGAAGCACTTCTAGGACAGAGTCTGAGCACCCAGGAACTGAACTTACCTTTTGTATCAAGTAGAATTGATGGCAGCTGTCATCTTCAGTAATTGGAGATTATATCTGTGGGCATTGTGTTCTGGAGTATAGAGTTCTGTCTGGCTTTGTAAAGACCAGTTGGTCAGGAAAAATGTTGGCAAACTCTAACTGGTATTCTCTGTGGGTCACACCGTTGTGTCACAGGGATGTGGCAGCAAGCCATATTGTTCAACTCATTTGGCTGCACTGAGCTGCTGTGGTAGTCAAACTTGCTCAGAAGATTTCTTTGAATGAGCTATTCTATTAAAGACTTTAAAATGGTCTCATGGTTTGCAAGAAAATTAATGTTCCTATCTTGTGTGCAAGTCACTTTATCAAATCCAAAGAATTGTTGGTAGACTTGTCTGAAACTTTTCACGTTTGAGTTCTACAATAAGCCATCTATGAACGTGGCAAGAGTAAGTCTACCAGTGATATGAAAGTGTTCTCTACATACCTGAAACACTCAGGTGGCTTGTGCCTGATGTATTTTATTTGACCTGCTGAGATTAGGATACCTATTTCAAACCATGATGCATCCAGAATTTGCAGAATACAGCTATCTATGTGTTGAGGAATAGTTAGGGAGGGAAAATTAGGCTAATGCTGTGTGTTCTGCAGAGCGTTCTCAAATTAGGTAACTTGATAATCAAAATCTGTTCTGGTTCAGCTGTAGTACTATGGAAAATGGAGACCAAAGTAGTAGAAGTAATTGTGTATTTCTGTGGCAGTTGCAACTGATGGTGCTTACTGTTGCAGGTACTAACTAGCAGCATCTCATAAATGAAGAGCAGAACTTTTGTTAGGAAGGTGTTGGAAATTCAGATATTAACAGCTGCAACAGAAACAAACCATGAGGCCATTTGTGCCAGTTGTATAGTTTATCAGATAAAAATGCATGTAAGTTTATATTGTATTATCTTCTTATTTGGGAACTGCTTATGATCCTTTAGGTTCTCGAGGAATGAAGAACAGCTTCTTTAACCACTTTTTCCTGAGCTAGGCTTTATACACCCATAGATGAACTAGGATGTGAAACTGGGAGGAAAGTTCAGGCTCCACTGAGCCTCAGTTGAACATTGTTTATCTGTAACCCTCCCCTAATTTAAATATTTACTGTTAGTTAGGAGAGTGACAATGGTTCATGTTTTGATACTCAACTGAAGAATTTTTCTTTTTTAAGAACTTCAGAGTGGCTTTGCCTTATATGGAAAGTTTAAATGGCCTCTTAGGTGCTGACTCCTCTGACTTAACACTAGTGGAAACCAGTGATCTTGATTGCACAGAGTAAGAATATAATACTGGCAGCAAGTTGGGGAGGGGCTTTTGCATGCTTATGTCTGTGAATTAATAATATTTAAAGGAATTGGGGAAATTTGTTACTTTGTTACTGCTCTTGTTGGATTAGTGAGGGAATGCCTGACCTGAAATCTTAAGGTCAGGGAATTCAGAGAAAAACAAGTATCAAAATGACTTTAGGAAATCAGTCTTTAGTATGCACTTGAATGCTTTCTCTAAATGAGCGGGCTTTACAGAGTGGCAGTTGTGGACGGTATTCTTCCACTCTGGCTCTGGGTGATTCAGTTCAGCCAATCCACGTATTTTTGAGGAAACTGAAATCTGTTTCATCACTTAGAAATGCTGCAATTATCCTTGTAGTTGTTGTGTATTTGAGAGATCACTATATATAATATAGCTAGCCAGTCCAAAAGGGGAAGGGATGGAAGAAACTGCCAGCTATGGAGAGAATAGAAGCATTCTGTCCTATCATGTTTTGTCTTCACAGCACTGTCCTGCTGAATTCTTGCTCTGCCACATGTTGTGTGATTTCTGGTCAATAACCAACATCAGTTGCAGCCATGTGTACAGAGTCACACCCTGATTTTTTTGTTTGTTATTGAGACTGTCTTGCTGTATCTTTGTGCCTACTGATAAACAATTCACCTAGGAAGAAATGATATAAAATAACAGGTTACTCTTTGAAATTTTGAGGTGGGCACGGGCAACTTTACTGCAATACAGTGAGGACCACATACCTTTTTATCTGTGTTGTTGATGAGTGAATTTGTTAAATGATTAAAAAAACAAAATAAACTTAGTCCACTTTACATCACCTATTAATTTAATACAGTAACTTCAAAAAAAACAAACCAGTAAGCTTGGGGTAAAAATATTCATGGTAACAGAGCTTGAAAAATTATTCTTTGTGGGTTTTTTGTCTTTTATAGGAAGTCATAGAATTAACCAAAGATCTCCTTTCAACACAACCTTCGGAAACTCTTGCAAGTTCTGACAGCTCTGCTTCTGCTCTGCCCAGTCACTCCTGGAAGGTTGGGGATAGGTGTATGGCCATATGGAGTGAGGATGGACAGTAAGTGTAGAAAACTTCTCTAACAGTTACATGAAATAGTTCAATGGTAAGAGACTTTCATTCAGTTTGAACTGCCCCTAGGGTGACTAAAAGAAAAAGAAATTAGGAAAGAAATATAATATTAGCTATTATTATACTCTAAAAGGTCAGTATTTTAGATAAAAAATGAAGAGATGTGGGGTCATTTTCTCGAAATGCCCTGTTTGTCACTAACCTTATAAAAATAGGGTAGCTTTGGTAAATTACCATTTGCTAATGTAATAAATGGCAGACTTACATGAATTGATCTATCAGAGCATCCTTCAGGATGTATAATTCATAATTTGTCATTGCATTCATATATATGTGATTGCCATCAAGAAAAATCCTTGCTGTATCTCAGTTTGCCTCTAATTGGAAATTAATTTTTAATTGGAAATGCTGAGCTTTGGCTATGAAATAACTAGCTGTGTAATGTAACTATAGAATTAATCAGCCTTTTGGATTTAGTCTCCATTACATTATAGTCTGTGAAGTTCTGGGAACCCAAGCAGTTCATTCTGGCTTCATAATCTTTGAAATAAACATTTTAAAATTACTTTCTATACTGCAAAATGTTGCAGCTTTTTAAAAATTACTATTCACGCCAGACTAATATCCCAGTCATTACTGCTTAGAGAAGCAATATTGCTCAACGACTGTGGTTGTGTTTAACAGTGTAGTAACCACACAGAGATTTTTGTATAGCTGTTCCTACCCATCTTGGGTAAGAAACAAACCTAGAAGTGAACAGTTTTTCTGTCACAGATTGAGTAAAATGCTTTTGTGTAAGAACTTAAAAATTGAATCTTACTGTCGTAGGTCACCATTGGGTCATTCTTCTTGCTCTGATCACTGGGCTAGAGGATCGGAGCTTGGGGAAGTATGTGCCAGTGTCCACTGAAATGGATCTTACTGGATTGTTTTTTGTATTGCCTTTTTTTTTTTTTAACTCCCTGCTTCTGTTACAACTTTCCTTAACTGACCAGTGTTTCATGAAGAGCCAGCCAGAAATGAGTACCTCACGTGGTTTGTGTTTCCATGTATTTTCATCTAGCTCAACTCAAGATGTTGCTGGCCCACTAAAATCGCACAAGAAATTAATTTAGTAAATGTTAACTGGAATATAATCTATGAAACTTCTCATTTTATTCCTCTGTTTGTTTTAGATATATCCTTTTGCTTGGAATTTAGATTCAATTATTTTAAATATTTTTGGAAATGCCACTTTTTTTCATCTTCCCCATTATGAGGTTGGTTAGACCAAAAGGTTTCATACACATAAGTATGAAATGGACTGATTTCCTCTAAAATTTCAAAATGTCTGTTTAAGATCAACAAGAGAACTTTTTAATTTTGTAAGTGTTGAAGAGGGAATATTTTTGAAAGCTTCAGTTTTTCTTAATTCTTTTTCATATGGAGAAAAATGGAACCGGAGCTTTGCTCTTGTAAGCTGACATTTTCCGAAACTCCTCAGTGAATTCCCGGAAAGCAGTGTTCTGTGAATGCAGTATTTTGTTGGGTCTCTCTTTTTTTTCCCCCAATCCTATGACCTGCCAGAACTAGAACAAAATCAAGATATCTGATTAGATTGGCCCCAGCATTAATCATTAGTCTTGGCAACTGTGAGGCCATTGCTTCTCAATGCTAAAGGTCAAATACAGCAGATTCTGGTCTTTGTACTTGTGTCCCTTTGATTTTAAGGAAATAATCTCTTGGTTTGATTTGTGTATTGTCCCTGAAAATGAAGGCTGATATTTGCAAATTTTTTTACTTAATGCCATTAGCTGGTTGACAGTGTAGGTATTGACGGGCTGAGTATTAAAGCTTTACTCACATGCTTACAGCCATGATATCTTTACAGGTGTTATGAAGCTGAGATTGAAGAAATAGATGAGGAGAATGGAACAGCTGCAGTCACATTTGCTGGATATGGCAACGCTGAAGTTACACCTCTGTTCAACCTCAAGCCTGTGGAAGAGGGAAGAAAAGCAAAAGAGGACAGTGGCAACAAACCCATGTCCAAGTAAGTAATACACAGGCAGAAGTCTGAAAGCTGCTTTGTTTTTTTTCCCCCACAGTTATAAAAATTGACGGAATAGAAAAATTACTGAAATAGACTCATTTTGAAATTTTATGTCTCTTTAGTATCTTCCCGTTGGTTTGGAAAAGGATCTTAAATCAATTTAGCATATGTTTGGTAGATTATTGTTGCTGGTATTGTGTTTTATGTATCCTGGCAAGATAATATGGTTGACTTTGTTTTACTCTCATTAGGCTACCTCAAGATAGCAAGTGTGTAAGCAGTAGATTAAGAAAAGTTAGTACTTCATTGAGAGCAAAGAGCCTACAAGTTTCAGCCCAGCTCTAGCACAGGCTGTTCTCAGAGCTGTGGTTTGGCTAACGACAACTGCACTCACCAGTATGAAGGACTTTGGCTTCTGCCTGTCCCTGTTAGGACAGCTGTGTGACCCCATTACTGGGGAGATGTGCTTTACTCAGTATCCTGCTGTGTCTAACACAGAAAGGCATTTGTAAGGGCTGAAAACATCATTTTTTTTTTTGGGGGGGG